AACGGGTGCCTTCTCATTTCACTCAATGACAACCGACGTTCCTGAGTGATAAATTTTCGACGTCGTTACATTGCAAATCCAAATCGATTTCCAATGGCCTCTGAATTAATGATACCTGCAAGAAAATTAAATCAATCAAATTTCATTCTATAAAAAACGTGTGGGTGTTAATTCTACAATTAAGGGAATGGGTTTGGACTGCTACGGAGACCGGTCCGATTTAACGGCAGTCAACAGTTAGAAGCTCGTAGTAGGAGGAACGCGTTGCACTTAACAAAACCGAACGTAGCGGTCGAGTGGTTAGCACTCAAGCTTCGTATTCGGAAGGTCCTGGGGTCAAATTTCAACTCGGTGAAAGACTGTTATGAGGTTTTCATGTTCTTCCTTAGCCACTCCAGGCAAATACCTCAATAAGACCTCAAAATATGCCACGACCGTTTTATTCCAGTTCTTTTCCGACTGATCATTCATTAACCAGGCTATCCTTCGGCGTTGCAGGACCACAGTCTGGGCTATTAAAAGCGTTGTTAATTAAAGTATAACATAAAATTTCACTGTCATAGCTTTTCACTCCCACCCCCTCTAGTCAGCCCGACTACATGAAACCAAATTTGCGGGTGGAAGAATGAGAGAGGTCTCTGACTGAACAGAGCTGCTCCATACTACGACGCACTAATGCGTTTATTCTAATTATCAATATGATACTTGGGAAAACACATAGGCCTAATTTATAGCCTCGTTTCTAATCATGGCATTGTTTACTTTCGATGGCAAATAGCAGAACACGTGTTTCGGTTGTCACGATGAAGATAATTTAAAAAGAAACACCATCCAGCTCTGTAACATCCGACGTAACACTGACAGAAAGAAACGAAAACCTCTATTCTTTAAAAATGAGTCGTGTGGGGGAGTTTGCCAAATAGTATGTTTAATAATCTACAAAGTTTTAGCAGAGACAGTTCTTTTTTGTCATCTTTAACTCCAATAAGTAATAAAAGCCACAGCTAATTTTGTTAGTACGTGAAATTGCGGCTTATATACTCATAATACTCACAGTCTCACCTCATCCGAACGAAATAAACTTACATTGAATATATTGTTAAATATATTCGGAAGCGTATCTTTACCATTAATGAAATTCCGCGGTTTTCAAAAATTTTGGAAAGATTTCCGTCCAACGACCTCGTTCTTACCCCTGTCATTCCTCTGTGCCACTGTTACATGAAAGGTATTCACTCTCGCATCGTTTCTCTTTGACTTCACAGGATAATGCGAATCCCTGGGGTTGGGTCAGCCTTGGCTATTTCTTTCAAACCTCCCACTGAGAGTTCTTTGACCTCTTGGCTAAAATAAATTATTTTTGGATACAAAAGCAAAGAACGGGTGGACTTCCAACACAGAAGTCAGGTCGATTCCGAGCAATTAACACGTCGCCCAAGGGCTACAAGTTGAATGAACCTTGACTGTCTGCTGTTTAATGGGAAAAGAATAACAGAGGCTGTGAACTCCGAAGTGCTTGCAAAGTTTCCCAAAGGAATGTTGTCACCAATGATAATTATATTTGTCTAGTTTACCACTCTAGTTGTAAGAACTTTCTTTTAAATTACGTTTTGTATAGGAAACCTTGTGTCTTTAAATACAGAACTGTGGCTTATAAATTATTTAAAAAACTACTTAATTCGAGTGCCAGGTTCAAAGAATTTAATGCAATTAAATTTAATATACAAGATTTAAGTTTCTAGTTGGTGGTTGGGATTTAAATTTTATTCCGTTTTCAATTTTACATTTAATGAATTTACATAAGGAATCACATTTGCCTCCTAATTTTAATGGAAATGCTATTTAATCTTTAAAAGATACCCAGCATTTCCATTGGCTGCCAAAATATCGAGTTAAAAATAAAGCAGTATTTAGTAACACTTGTAACACTTACCTTATATGTGTCCGGAGTAACTGTAATGCCTGCGTTACCCTGAAGACTTGGTAATGGTTGATCCTTGGGCAGTTCTATGTGAAAGACGTGAAGAATTGACGAAATGAATAGGAATAGTTCCATCCGTGCCAGTACATCTCCCAAACACATTCTTCTGCCTGCAAATGCAAGTACCTGATGGAATCTAGAAGATCTACTATTGACATAGACAGGCTACTTCTTCCCGGGAGATGTCGTCTTATCTAATGACTATTGACTCACTTTGTGAGTGTTAGCAAATCATAGTGAATGATCTTATGATTTCTGAGTTTAAATATAGGGCCTAATTAATTTTGAAATACATGATAATCAAATGTATAAAATCAAATTAAATCCCATTGATTAACATTGAAAATATCTAGGTCGATTACTTTACGCGTTAACTTCTTCGTCCAAGTAGGCTAATATATATTGGGGTTGATTGTACAGTACTGAAATTCATGACGTAACTACCAGCTTCATCTGTCAAGTTTGTCGGCGAAAGGTCGACGTTTTTCAGCTTTGGATACTTCACAGGTGTATAATTTTATAGACAAAACTCTTTTTTTTTTGCAAAACCTCAAGCAAATATAACACAAACTTCTGTGGTTTTCTGATGTGTACAAACCTTTCGTTTGAATTATTACTATTGCCACATTTAGACCACAGTTCAGTAAAATTATACTTATACACTGACCAAGTACTTTTCATTCTATTTTATTTATGTATAAAGAGGAATTTTGTTATTTGTGACTGTACTTACCAACACCAAACGGAAGAAAGTATTCTGGCTTGGTGACTTTGCCTTCCGCGTTGAGAAACCTCGTTGGTTTAAATTTCTCAGGTTCGTCCCACAACTTCGGATCCATGTGGATAGTATGTAGCAGTGGCACAATCTGTGTATTCCTTGGAATCTTGAAGCCGTTTAGATACGAGTCACTGCAAATAGAAGCCACCGTGACAACTAGATTAGTCCGAAAAGTTACGGACTTAAAATTTTACGACTTCATGTTTTATATTCTCACTGCGATTAGTATGTTATCCGACGCAAAGTATGTGCTCATTGTCATAATCTGAAGGCTGTCAGAGTGCCTTAAAGCTTCACGGTGAATTGTAATAGATGAAGCGAGAAAATCGACCTGGAATAGGGCCAAAAACTAGGGCGGTACTATTGCGGGATTTTGCGCTACTAGCTGTTTGGACTTAATAGATTGTTACGGAATGAGAACATGAAGTCACTTTGCAGACAATGTCTTCAGGAAAGTGGTTGCCTATCAACACGTTATAATGCCAGACCGTCCTGGGATGCGTATCCTTAAAATTGATATATTTTCGAACTCCCATATATTACCTATACGACAAAATCCTTCTACTTATCGATATTTGTTTCACACTGAATAATTTTACTGAACTTTATTCCCCTGCATTCAAATATTGACTTCGTCACGATTAGAAAAGTTATTTAACGGTTGTTCTACGAGTTTGTTATTTCTCTTACTTTGTACATTTCACGCCACGTTAAATCTGGATTAAAGTTTGCTGATCGGAATTAAAGACATGTTACTTTTTGTTTATTGGTTGAAACTTTGGCATAAATGTGGCTTCATTAATTTCGTCATTGGTTCACTGACCCGACAGTTCACGCATGATCAGTATAGACAAATATGCCAGACAGGACACGGTCAAGTTAATCTGCATATCGATTTTACGAGTACTTTCACTTTTTAATACGAATGTGGCATAGCGGAACCCACTCGACGTGTTTATATGATATCCAGAACAAATATTTGGCTACCAGGTGTCAAACAACGGAAATCGAAAGATTCGTATGCAACGCAAATTCTGAGAAGTTGTACGGACAGGCCTATGTGATGTGTGTGTGTGTGTGTGTGTTATTTGACGTGAGCTAATACCGAATTAGGGAAAGTGTCTTAAACACGTTTCATTTCTTTACGGTACACAGTTCCGATTTCTCTCGATTAACAAAACACTATTCTCCCTTGACACTAAGATTAGTGTTGACGTAATTGCATGTGTACGTGATTGTACATTAGATATTAATTGTATGGAAATATGTCCCGCTTAACGACAGCATGTGTCCTCCATCTATGCAAGATTGTGTAGCTCTATCTTAAATATTTGAATGACTTACAGCTCGCTATCTCTGTTCGCAAAACTTAGCTTGTTTTGTTGATTTCTAAACTACCCTAACTATGAGAACAGCCAAGCGCCGGTTAATAGAAGAAGCCCCTAAGTTAAGTCCGAATGTATAGCAATGTGCTTCCTGGTCAGGGCCATCAGACATCTCGTGGAGCGGTGACAGATGAGTGTGGAGAAATGGTGAAATGATGATTAGTACTACTAAATTAAATAATACGGAAAAGAAACACACACCAGTGCTACATCATCAAAACTTGCTTGACACATTCCAGTTTTAGTCCAAATCAAATAACAATGGAAGATACTTTTCATAGGGTCCTACATGCCGTTCTTTTGAAATGACAATGGGGAATCTCAAGATTACCTTGGTTGCTATGGTTACGTTTGTTGCCTTGGTTAAAGATCAAAGGTAAAATTCTGGCGAACGCACAATAATTGTTACCTATGCGTACATTTCCTAACTTGTTGATTTTTGATGTGCTCGTTATGAACGTTTCCTCAAGAAGAGAAAGGAACGTATGACATAAATATTTTGTGTGACATGGATTCGATTGTTATGCTTCAATCGAACGTCGCGGTTGAATGGTTTGCACTCCTGCTACGTGTTGTGGAGGTTCAGGATCCACATCTTGGCCCAGAGACTGACTACACAGACTTTGGTTCTTCGTGGTTTTCCTCGGTTTCTCCATGCAAGTGGCAGGATAGTACCTCAAATTATGCCACGATCCATTCCAATCGAAAATTCACTGTTCGCCCTACCATTCGACTGTGAAAATATGAGCTACTGTCAGCGTCGTTAAAAGAACTGTAAACAAAAACGTGCTTCATGCCAGAGCAATGTTCGTGTTTCTTCTTATACTGGCAGTGTAATTAAATCGTGCTAGAAATTCGAGACAGCAGTAGACAATCTGAGGGCAATATGAAGAGGCCTACGTCTCAGACATAGGCCACTAGCTTCTCAGGGTGCAGCTGACCTTCAGTCAGAATCCTTTAGTACAATGACCGATCTCATATTCCTCCCACACAAAATTTAACTTTACCAGATTTTCCAAAGGCATCACTGATAGGTTAGCTCAGCGATGACGTGTTTTGATTAAAAATGGGCGGTACTCGGTTTGAGCCTTCGACAGATGTATATATATTCTGATTCTTCGGCTTTATGTGGTCAGTAGTTACGTTCATGCTCCGGACGCTTTACCCGTGGAACCAATTACAAATGGGGCTCGTTGGTCCCCTGTGACGTGTCGGACATAATGGGGGTCAAACCTCGATTGCCCAGTCCGTAACTTTACTTGTAACATAATACAGGTTCGCAAATTTTTATTTATCACAATTTTTTTAAGATAATTTCAAATGTATTACAGTAAATTAAAAGCATTCTTCAATGGAAATAAGACCGTTACTGATACGAAACATTTCATACGAGATATGACAGTTGGACGTTGCATAATTGCTTTTCCAAGCCTTGGAATTTTTAAGGGGTGTAAACGTATTTTTACGTACTTATTTCCTTGGTATTAAGGTAATTTGCAACAACTCTCCATGGGATAAGGACGTGGGCGGGCCGGAGAACCACACCGAACGTGGGGACATTTTTTAACCAAACAAAGAAGTGTAAAACTTACCGAGTTGCTGCATGCGTCGTGCCCAGTGGAACAATGCTGGACCGCCTCAGAACTTCCAGTATCGTCGATTCTGTATAAGGTAGATAGGGAATATCTTCAAGTTTGGGAAGTCTTCCCCTGCCAACAACTTCGTCCAGTTCTTCTTGCACAGCTTTTGTAATCTCTGGGTTATGAAGCAGGAAAACCACAGCCCACTGTACCGTGGTCTTAACAGTCTCCATACCAGCAGAAAACAGATCACCGATGATTTGTTGTATATGACGATCTAAAAAACCAATACCAGCCAGATTGACGTTAAGCAGTAATTGTACGTTTTCGATTATATCAAATATTAGTTCTTTCTTTGGAGTTAAACGGTCGCAACTTGAAGTTTAACCGCGGTTAAGAATGTGTGTAGCTTTACCTCATCTCCCTATATTCTCCTTAATGGCATGATACTTAGCATAAAAAATATTACTTGTGCCTATAATCAGTGTATAACTTGCATTAGATGGAGGATAACATTAGATTTTTTCTGTGGTGCAGAATAAGAATATCCCTGTTCAAAGGATCGAGTTACACGTTAATGCACAAATACAATTATTAATCCCATTCGTACTTGTGGCTGAGTCTTACCGTGATCCATTCCCTCAAACAGCGTCTCGCCACGACCTTCTTCCTTCGCTCGCTGAATTTCTGCCAGGTACGTGTCAATCAGGTCACGAACGTTGCTTGGGTCGAAAGTTGCTCGATGATTGTCAATTGTCTCTTGGAAAAATTGTGCCATTTCCGACCGATTCTGTTGAATTAATGTTTATATGTTTTACACCATTGTCAAAAATAAAATACGTGTTCTCCATGACTTCAGATAAAAAAATAAGAGTTATAATATTAAATAAAGACAGACTTTTGGCATTTATGGCAAATTATTAAATTATTATAGTCAAGAAGACTCATGAAAGAGGTCAAATTTAATAAATGCAACAAAATCTTTTCTAGAGAATTTACAGTTAGTCACCTAGTTCAAAATACAATGTTCTTTCAACTTTCTTATCCTGATCCCCTTAAATCCAGTCCTAAATTAAAGTTTTACACTATCTGCTAATAAAAAAGGCCAATACTAAATAAGTAACTAAAGTTATTTAGTGTGTTGTCTCTTATTTTTGAAGCATTTTCTTTCGTTACAGCTTAAGATTGTCGATACTGGCACTAACGAGTTCTGCTTCGTTCGCTTACCTCTGCTAGTTTCCTGCTTGTGGCTTTGAAACAGGGTATGAACCGCATGGCTGGAATAAAATTGATTGTTTCGAGGGAACCGAACAGCTTGAAGCCTTCTTCAATAAGACCCATGAAGCGCTTGAAGCGTATGTCATTACGCTCGAAACGCACGCTCATTGTAAGGGCACAAATGATGTTGCTAGCCGCCATGGCAAGTCCGGGACCCAGATCTGTTGGAGTCCCTTCCAGACGGGACAGCGTTCTAAGCAGAGCACTAACTTCTCCCTGTAGGAACACCACAAGACACGCTTAAAACATACGCCGTACAGTTTAGTGACTTAGTCCTTAAATTGTTTTCTTGTGAGTTTTGTAAGAAAGTCTCAGTGTTGTCTGGATTATTGGATTCTATTCATAGACTTGTAATATTTGTTATATGTCTGTAGAAAGATGTTTATTTATTTATTGATAATATCTACGATGCTGCACTAAAAGCTTATGTATGTAGTAACAAATGAGATATTTCCATCAATGTCGAGAATGGTTGCGGAATTCTTAACCGTAAATTACTGTTTCGTTATTCGTAGGGACGGACCTAGGGAAATCATGAAACTCTGTGAGAATAACCGGTCTCTGGTCAGGGTTTGAAACAAATACCTCATGTATGCAATCCATACACATTCGCAGACTTTATCAACTATCTGAATGTTGTTAATAACTCAGTAATGTTTATGTTAAAATAAAATACCTTATAAAATAATTCCGCAGATTTTCATGAAAGTAAGATTGAGATACAAAGTCCTAATTCAAAATTTCCCTATTTTATAAATACGTTATTAGTATTTTGTAACATTGTCCTGGATCATTCTACCTCGTTTCGATTTCGTTAGTTCTATATTGGTAACTTCTGGTACACACCATGATTCTGGTCTCCATTAGCTCCTTTCCAGCGCCTAAGTATTTCATTCCAAATTGTCGCAGCCTCTCGTGCAGAAAGCGCCGCTGGTCCTTCCAGAGACGACCTTCACTATTGACGATACCTGAGAGAACAAGAAAGAGAAAACACCCTAAATACCGAATAGCACATTGATCAATATCTTGCTGCTATTTAAAAAGAGTCTAACTGGAAATATGAATGCGTGGTTACAAAGACAACCCAATCCACTTGAACTAAATGACTGTGCCAAAACATACTACGTTCTAATAGTTGTATATTTTATAATAACAACTTGTTGCACACTTAATTACTATCCTCACAACCTTAATTTATAAGAGAGATAGGTATATTTCCAGGTAACATAAACTGTTATCACGCAAGTGTGGCGCCAGGCATAAAAATCTTTTTAATTACATTTCAAACCGTAAGATGACATACATTTAAAACAACAAATTATTTAAGTTATAAGCTTATTAAACATTTTGCTCGAAGTATGGTAGCCGTTCGATAACATCTCACGTCAGAACTACCGTCTAGACGTGACACCTGTTTCGCCACACTAAGTACATTAGAAGAGGCAAACGTTTCAAAGAATGTAAATGCGTGTCGGCAAATTTGAGCATTACGTCTTCATGTTTGCAACGTGACTCAAGTAACAAGTAGGTCACTGAAGATTAAAGAATGGTGTGAGTACAGACATGTGGCAAACTCATATTATCTCGTTTGGTTAGAAGTTGTACAGGTAATGTCCACTATGAACATTGTACTTTGCATTGTGTTATATTAAAAGATTTTTTTTTGGAACATCACCCCAAAATTTTAAAATTAGCAAGAGGGAATTGCATGAAAATATAATTGGAAAATAACTTGGAACTAAATAACACTTTCCATTATTTATTACTTGTTTAATTGCATGTAAACTTCTTCCACACGCATTTATAGACTTCAATCATAACGAAACGTAACATAGAAATGCATAGTCTAATTTTAAAAATAAAGAAGTCCTTCCCGGAGTTTGAATATTCGCGGGAAAAGAGGCAAAACGAAAAATACAATTACATGTGTGCGGCTCTGGCTGACGGAATGGCACGGCCTTGCCACCAGTTGCGATCACTGTGTCGGTTTCCGCGTTTCCTAGTCCTAGCGGCACAGCCGCCAAATAACCTTACTGTAAATCTCGAGTACTATGGAAGTGCTTACCGTAACCTCCGAGGATATTGATGAATTCGGTGTGGGGACGCCCTGTGAACTCCTCCCTGCGAAAAGCTTCCCGGATCGTCTTGTGGTCGCTAAGAACCACAACCAGCTGGTTCCCCAGTCTCGTGCTGAACATGGTCCCATATTTACTAGCAAGATCACTGTAGTGCAGGTGGTGAGCGTTGCCTTTCAGGAAGGGCAAGTAACCGATGACAGGAAATCCCCATGGTCCAGGCGGAAGACTTCGGATCTCGCTCAGTATTTGAGAAATCCTAACAGATACCAATATTACGAGGACCACTAGCAGAATTAAGTAATTATTAATGCAGCACGTGGTCCAGATAGTAGTGATCAGATTCCACAACAGCCCTTCTAGTAGCACCATGTTTGTCGGTCCTTCTCACACGCACGCTTTGGACTTCACACCGAAACAGTGATGGAATTGCAGTGAAGAAAGGAGTGTGCAGACAACTGGAGAATAAATAGTGTACTAACATAGAACTTAACTGTCCTTGCTGTCTTTTATAGTGAGTCATCAGCGAGACTCCCCCAGGTGGGGTTTAGTTACGTATTATGGGATCTTCGTGGAGGGGGGCTCTTGGTGGAGAAGGGAGTCTCAGTTACTAGAGCTCAGTATTTCGGGGGTAGCCTACCTTCTTCAGGGAAATCGTCTTGTCAGGAGGGATGATTTTCCGTCGAGGGAAGGGAGAAAGAAGGCGTGTCTGGTTCTTGTGAGTGGCTGTAGTATTAGGGGCCACGAGGTACTTTGGGCGGGTCGTGATTTTAATACGGCAGAACAGCCAACGAGAAAACACCTGTGTGCCCCTGTGATTGGGAGGCAGCTGCCCACGCACGCGGTCCCTCGGTCACTCTCAGTTGTAAGCCGACTGCTGGCGGGGGTAGACGTATGTGCTGGCTGCTCCCACTCGGATGGACCTTCTGTTATTCTTAGCGTTTCTGAAATTAGTCACTGAAAGGACACGTGCCTATATATCTGCGTATTTCGCTCTAGGTGAACAAGTTCTTCCGCTGAATCGACGTAGTTACAATATTTATGTCTACAGAGTAGCCAAATTTAAATAAAAAGTGGATATAATTATGTGGGCCTATTGGTATAATAAAAAGGAATTCGATAACAGGTTAGGTTGCATTTATTTTATTTTAATTTAATACTTTACGTTTGCATTTAATATTGTAGTCATTAATGACAAACGGGTTCTGCAACAAATTTGTGAGTAAATAAAAATACGCGTTCGTGCAAAAGAGGCGCTAGTACGTAATGACGCTACTGTAATTGTTCCGAATGTAATACTGTGACAGTTTTAAGTGTTCTTCCGACCATTTAACATCGGCTATACTTCACTTCGAACTGACCACCTTTCTGTTACTAATTTACATGTTTCAATGATTGTGTCTTGGGTTAGTGAGATTAGAGGTCATGTTAGACTTATTTTCTGAAGCCAAATTTACATACGCATGTTTCCGAAACCATTAAAAACACTGCATTTGGAGGGAGTAAGCCTACATTATTCTTTATTATACAGCGTTCCATAACAGAACAAATATACTTTAAGAAAAGACAAATAAATACAAATTTCAGTCTATCACATCCATAAATAGTTTCATAATATGAGACATACTTGTTTTATCATTATAATGACCGGAAGAAACCCTCATCTCCTTTTGCCTTCTGTAATGTGTTGACATTAATGGTTTACAATGGACTAATGTACAAGGTACTGATAATCGAAGTTTGTACATCCCTGACGTTCTGGTCCATTGGTCATTATTCAATGTTCGGTGTCACGTGTTCGAATATCTGTGTTGAGATCTGCCATTCTGATTGTATTTTTCGTGGCATTAATGAGGTCCTAATAAACGCCTGTGTTTTAGGCTAGCTTAAAATAGGCAATATTTAATTCCACATCCTTTTAAACTTATAAATTAGGTGTAATTTACGTAGGAAACAGCGACCTTGAAATGTATGTATTTTTCCTCAGTTCTAGGCAAGTGCTGGAATGACATGTAAAAGTAGGCCACAACCCCATTCTGCTAGTTTCTTCCTAACTCAGCATTCATGATTATCCTCAATTTACCCTACGTAACTTACACAGTGTCGTTATGTAATATAATACGTTAAAAATGTCTATCAATGTGCACAGAATCAACTCAGCCACAGATCAGAAGCCCAGCAGAAACTCTCCTTCTTTGAATTCGGGAAACGAAAACCCGGGAAATTATTTTCTGCTTTTCCTCAATATGACGGTTTTATTTCCTACCTTTCCCAGCTCACGTCGACAGCGATCTTCAGATCTAACATGACGATAAATATCATTTGCAATAATTACAGCATCGTTAAATTTCCTATAAATGAATTGACCCACTAAACGAATTTACGCAGTGCTAAGATCTATGAAGTAAGTCACGCTTTAGAAGTGGATTTAAGCAACTCGATGACGTTTACAAATTCTGGAATCTTCCACTCCTGGACCAAACCGTATCAGCAGCTGCTGGAAAGCTACAAATTCAAGATGACACAAGGTCTCTTTCGTATACGCAGTTCTGAAAACAGAATATGATGTTGAAGATTTCTGTCTTCTGGGTTGTTGCGCCGCGTAGTATGGTAGATGTTTACCAACGTTTCGGAGGTCATACTGCCTCCGTCATCAGGGCGATGAGTATGAAGATTTCTGTCTTCTGGGTTGTTGCGCCGTATAGTCTGGTCGATGTTAACCAACGTTTCAGAGGTCATACTGCCTCCGTCATTGCCCTGATGACGGAGGCAGTATGACCTCTGAAACGTTGGTAAACATCTACCATACTACACTGTGCAACAACCCAGAAGACAGAAATCTTCGTACTCACCGCCGTGAAAACCTCAAATCATACAGAATATGTTCCTTTATTGTTTACATAAGTAACGTTTTATGACCTATCCCAATAGAAGTTCGGTCGGAACAATAGGTTATGTATCAAGGATTGAATTACAAGTCTACGTAATTGTGTTTGTAATAGTGTATAATATCTCTATATAAGGCTGTACGTACAAAATGTTGCAAGTATACAACAATGTTGACGTTTTTCTCTATTAATTCTTTCTTTCTGTGTCTTAAAATGAAGCCATGAAGCCAGAGATCTGGTTTAGCCCTTCTAGAGGATCCAACAGAGTAGATTTTTTGTCATCCGAAGACAGGGGAAATATTCATCCCTTGAAACGTTGTCTTCATTTTAATATAGAGAAAGGTGAATTTAGTCCAGAATAAAAACAATATCTAATATAATGTTTTATGTATTTCTCATCTTTTCTTTTCAATAAATTTTAAACCACCTTAAATGTATGGTACATGATCCGTCATCTCATCCTCATTGAAAGCAAGCGGGCTATAAATATTAATATTTTAACTTAATATCCATGACACGTTGGAAATATCAAAGCCAAATTCTATCACTTTAATGGAGCGGGAGGGGTAATTGATGGCTTTTCTGATCCTAGTAGCACCACAAAGGGATTCACTAAATAAATGGCAGTCTGACCAATATCGTAAATAACAAGACTTCATAACCAAGATTCAGTCTATGGGAAAGACGCAGACTGTGGATATTTGATAACAAGGTGCTGAGGGGAACAGTTGGACCCCTGAGGATAAAAGGAGGGTATATAAAATGAAACACCTTTGTAGTTTGTAATATTTTTATATCTACAGATGGTTTAATATGCTAATGAAATTAAGGGAAATCAGGTGGGAGGGACATGCAGTACGTGTAAGGAGAGGTAGGTAAAAGGGGACACTGAATGGAAGACAAACTGTAGGAGGATATTATTAAAATGGATCGGAAATATATGTAATAGCAAGTGAGGATTTTTATCGGATTAAGTGGTTCAGGTTTCATGACAATTCTTCCGGCAATAAAAGTTTAATTCCATAAATGTGGGGATGTCTTCATCAGCTGAGCGACTGTCATCTTAGTGTGAAGGACTGTTCCATGGAGTTAGTTTTGGTAGGTGTTGTAGGATTTGAGGTTTTCACGGTGGTGAGTCTGAAGATGACTGTCTTCTTCATCAATATCGCAAGTCCCTTGGTTAGGACTTATAGAGGAAACAAGAAATTAATAATAAAATTTTTCCTGAAATATATCTTGGTTGGACTTCTTTGGAAACAAGTATGTTTACGAAGACGAATACTAATATCGACTGATTGAGTCTCAGGTCATTTAATGATGCTCTTTGAGTTACAGAGGCTATGTAGCTTTTTATGAATGCAAATTTGATCATGAAATATGTGCTGGAAATTATTCGAAAGAAAACTTTAGCGTTTTAACCCAGAATTCGCTAGAGAGACGAGAAAATGTCTCTATAGTAAAGCCGAAATTTGAACACGGAAAGAACCAAGTATAAGTGTATAGCTTGACCGTTATACCAACTTGCTCCGTGAGAAGATAATCTTAAATTGAATGTCAGATAGTGGGAACTGATGATGTGAATTGGTTCAGAACAGGTTCCTGTAGCGATTATTGAATTAGCGGTATACAGCCTTTGGGCGCCTTTTAACAAGGACTGCTGAACGATTATGAAAAGTCAACTAGTCGGTAAATGGTAAGGCTGTAGCATTATTACCTTCTTGTTTAAACATCAAGAGGACGTTTGAATAAACGTTTCTTGTGTCTCAAAATGCCTCTTACCTATTCGGTCCAAATTCTGTTCCATCCGTGGTTTCTATAACTACTCTTCATCAACTGCAGCGTGGAATTGCAGGATCCACAAGGAAGAGTATTACCTGGGGTTCTCACGGCAGTGAGTACAAACATGGCTGTCTTCTGGGTTGTAGTGCGGTGTTGTCTGATGGAAATGTGCCTTCAAGAAAGCTGCTGTGACCTATCACAGCATTTGCTTTGAAGGACGCAGGTTTAACACCTCAGGATAGTCGGTTTCTGAGCTGAGGTTTGAATTCGGGACTTCTGGCAGGAGTGCTAACAATTTGACCAAGACATTTGGTACACTCGCGCTGTTTCAGTTACACTTGCAATCAAAGTAGGGAAGGAAGATGAAAATTCCTAGCATAATTTTACTCGCTACTGGACCAGTTCACGTGTACTTACGAAGTGTCGAAGCGGGGAGTGAAGGAAGAGGAATGGTGGGAAGTGTAGTATGTCTGTGTGTTTGTATGTCTGTGGGGGAGAAAGAGAAAATCCCTCTATATCTGTCTCTTTTTCTTTCTTTCTCCGTCTTGTCCTCAGGTCAATGATCCCTGAAGCAAGAGTTTTGTCCGTCGTGTAAACGCGAGAATGGGGATACTCACGTCTGCAGGCCAGGTGAAATGACTCGAAGGCTTGTTTCTGCTGAGTGTGACATTCTTGTTCTTCTATAACAGAATACCTCTCGACTTTATTTTGCTTAAGCAGCATTTGGCGATGAAGTCATCTCATAGTCAAAGGAGGCTTGAAGGCAGGTGGTTCGTGTTCAAGACCAG